CTTTTAAATTTATTTCTACCATGGTTTTCAATCTTGTCCATTTGTTCCTGCATTAATTATAATATTTCTAGGCTTTTATGCTTAACTAATACACTTCTCTTTCAGTTATCTTAACTTACTAGCATAAATAAAATGCTATTAAAAGTTTTGAACATTTTTGTTGAATGTTCAATTTCTTTTAATATCATAATACGCCTAAATAGGTCATTGCCATACCATTAGTGGAAATGTAATATGACGTGATATTTAATATTTACATATTTAATGGCAAACTAATCCACTATCTTATTTGTGTCATTTTAATACGCAGAATTGTATAAGAATTTAGAAATAGCTTGCAGTGAAATAAACTGCATTTGAATAGATTGCAGTGAAATAAAGAAATTGAAGCACGCGGCTTTGGAAGTCCAATTAGTGACAATTTGATTATCCATCCACGATTTACTAACGTCACTTCAGTATAATGGTTGTTATCCTTACAATAATGTTTTAGTATAAGCGGCCCGTGCAGAAAACCCCATCATATTTGCTGTAAATTATTTGAAATAATAGTACACAGTAAAATAAAACAAAAGTGACTCCAAATAGAGAAAGTGAGGCCATTTTACTCAACGTTTCGACTTTATTAAGTCATCATCAGGAATGTGCACAGAATGTTGAAAAAAATCGATTACATTTCTCTGACTTACTGTCATTATTGTTACTGTTAAGTCACTCTTTAATTTGAGACCACTTTTGGGACTGAATATATTTAGGTGGCCTCCAGATTTTCGTCTCCAACTAGAGGGTTGGAGACGTCTGTCATTTTTCGGAGTCACCATACTCATATTCTAGAGGGTTGTGTTATTGAAGATTGCTATAGTTGGTACAGTACATTGAAAAACTACTGATTTCAATTCAATTCAATTTATTCACATAATGCATTGAATGATAATGATGAAAAAAAAGCGTAGAGTAGACAGGCAATGCATTTATGTCTGTTGATACCAATCATCACTTTAAATGCTTTAAGTCTGGTACTACCAGAAACATAAATAATCAAGGTTGGTGGTGATAATAATAATAAAAATACTTTTGAAATAATATAGAGACGTCTCGGAATTAGATGTGTTTAAAAAAAGGATACATCGTCATTCATTATTAAATTATTATTAGTATTATTCATGGAAGGTAGTTATATAAGGTACAATATCCTTGATACAATCACAAGAATATTGAGATATTTTTCAGTGGTACAGTGGTATATTTACCATGGGCGTCGATCGGTGGGGGACAGGGGACACATCCATAACTTGTCAAGGTAGGGATGGATCATATCAATTGCCCCACCCCCCTATCTTCCACAAACCTTCTATAATTCATACCCCACTTTTCAAAGCGAATGGAAAGAATAACAATTTTTGTTTATTCACTTTTCCAAATGCGGTGCGTATTTCCGGACCAAAACCGAGTAAAAACGAAATTGTCTGTTACCACTACATCGATTTTATGGGTGCAACGGTTATCAGAGGCTAAATTTATTGTGAAAACAATAAAATAAATATAATTATATAAACTCACCAAAAGTAGTCGTGTTTGGTATCGTTGGAAAGCTCTTCCGATGTTGAATAATGTATTGCAGTATACATATCAGAAACGGTGCAGTGTTTCATATATTGTCCCATAAATTCCAATTATGGCATATCATATTAAAATAAACAGGACCCATTTGCGTAACTCGAGAGCTCTCGGGGTGGGGGGTGTGGGGTGCGCTCATACTACTACCTAGCACATTACTACCAAGGCTTAAGTAACGCATGTGTTTTTCTGGGCGAAGTCCAAGTCCAAATGGGCCCTGGAGAGGCCACTATTTATACTTACAGTAACACTGATACGCAGCACTCTCCTCCAACGCCTTAACAATACGTAACCTTTTCTATAATTTCCAAAAAACCAAATGGACCAATCCCACAAACACAATATTTGGCAGATTTATTAGAAGGGGTTTTTTTTCAACTATGTCTCAGGATGCCCCACTATGGAGGTTTGACGAGTTATGTAATGCCTGTGTGCTTTCTGGGGAAACACTTACTTCCTCCATGTCCCAAAGAGTCCCTGAAAGGCGATGGGCCCCTATCTTACTACTACCGAGCAATCTAAAAATACAACGCTTTTGACAAAATATTTTTTTTTTATTTTTTCAAAAATGTATGAGCCCAGGACGGCTGCATAACTACCCACCTTAAAATCCGCCTCCGACTTTAAACATGTCAATAAATAAAGAATAAAATACATGGTTATCCATCATAGTAAGCCTATTATTAAATATTATTGAAATCGATTAAAATAATGTATACATTATAGTCCTATTAATAATTCGGATATTCGGATGATAAACGCCTGCAACATCATCAATTGGACCTTAAAGGACGATGGTCATTTTATTCAGATTGTCCTTATGTTTCAGAGCAACATAATTTTTGGAATCACACTTGGAGTGACACTTTATTAAAAACAATCAATGAATTTTGTTACTCAAACGTCTTTATATTGATATTTTCAAGTCTATTAGATGACCTGAAGAAAAAGTGATCCAGAAGTCGTAGGCTTACTATGTACAATATATTTTGGCGAACGTAAATTTTTGTCCGTCTCTGAATTTTAATAGTGTTACTGTAATAGAGCCTATTATTAAATATTGGAATGGATAATAGATTTATAACCAGGGAGCAGAGCAGCTAAGCTCAGTTGCCGAAACTGGTGGTAGCCTCTGTGTGCGCTGAAACGTGGGGATCTCTAGGTCTCCGATTCAAATCAAATCAAATCATTCTTTATTGCATCACTCAAAATGGGTTGAATTTTACAAAAGTACAAAAGCAGAAAAATCTAAACAAATCAACATTTAAACATTTTTCAACAAAAAAGACCCACATCACAAAAACAGCAAAAGGAAACAGGTTTAAAGGGCAAAAAGGCAACCAATATTAAAATTATTAT